CACACACACACACACACTCACTCACACACACACACTCACTCACACTCACACACACACACACACACACACACACACTCACTCACACACACACACTCACTCACACTCACACACACACACACACACACACACACACTCACTCACACACACACACTCACTCACACTCACACACACACACACACACACACACACACTCACTCACACTCACAAAACATTTTATCTAGTGATGATAATAAATCTGAAGCAAATACAGTTTAAATTTAAGGTATCCTGCTACTGACTTTTATTTTATTTTAAAATAAAAGCTTGTCCATACGTCTGAAATGTAACATTCAGGTAGAGTGCAAATCTTCCATAAGCTTCCAAAAAAAACAAAAAAAATTTCAAAGTATATTTAATATAGAAAATATAAACAGACCAGTTCCGGAAATAAAAACACCATTAATTTTCTTCATGGGGGAGTTGATTTTTAACGATAACTTATTAAACCTTTAAAGTTGGTGCTACTGCGAGCTACGAGAGTGTTAATCGATAGAGTATGCTTTTGTTGAAGCCAGCTGGTTCTCATTTTTTAAATTACATATTATGTTTATTATTGAATAGTCCTGTTTAACAGCGGAACTACATTACCCATGATTCCGCAGCGCTGTTTGCGCGTGACTTCCGCCTGCTGGACACAAACAAGTAGCGCGTTTACAGCCGCGCCTTTCACAAAACACAGAGCGCTAATCATCTTACATTACTGGATTGTTATTCGAAGTAACACACATTTATTAGTACATTTAACACTGAAAATATACACAGTCGAGTTGCGGAAGTAAAACCTCCATTCATATTCTCCTTTAGGGGACTGGTTTTAAACGCGTCGTGACGTGTGCGTCATTTCCATGACAACCGCCGAGCGTTCCACCGACAACAACCACAACAACATTAATATTTGCCTAATATTAAAAATTTCTTATGCTTACTAATCTGAGACATTTTGTCTGTTTATGACAAAAACAAAAAAGTAAAGCTTTGCTCTTCTGTTGCAGTTTATTTAATAATGTATGAAAGTTTTAGTTGTATTTTAGATTGAGGATAGTAATATATGAGCAGATGTAAGTGTATTTATGTGGCTCTTCTGCAGGCAGCTGCTCGGCCTGATGGGAGGATAAACACTTGTACTGCATCGTCAGTGTGTTCAGACTGAACTACACCTTCAGCCAATCCCGTGTACAATAAAAGCACATGTAAAAATGTCTGGAGCTTTTATTCCACATTCACTCAGACGTCACAAAAGAAAAGTTTGGGAATGATCTCGTGTACATGTGGAGAGGTCCTGTGACCATCACCTTCACTCATCACAGATAAACCACTCCATCAAACAGACTCAAGTAAACACAAATCAGCATTTCAGGAGCACAGAGCCCAGCACTGACCGTCAACCTTCACTACATTAAGACAACGGAGTGAACAAACAGTGCTTACAGTGACAAAAACAAGGCGCTTCTGGAAGTGATTCAGACCCACATCATAATCATAAACACACAAAAGCAGACGGCGAGAGAGAAGCGTGTGCAGCCAGAGTGAGGAAAGAAGGAGCACACAGGATCTCCATGTTGGCCAAACGAGCCAGAAATCATTAGAAATAAATGCACATAAGCAGCGTCCTCACATCATTCATGGAGTCTGATCGATGAGAAAAAACTCTGGTAAACACGGTCAAGAAATTCCCAATATATTTCACTCAAAAATCAAGAAAAAGACTGCTATTTTTAATACCCTATATACTTATTTTAATGTCAATTAAGCACATTTGACCCTAATTTGTTATTACTGCATTGCAAAAAAAAAAAAACGATATTCATATTTTTATATGAAAATACTTCTACATAATTTTTTTTATATGTTTACACCTAAATACATTTTGTAAAACTAAACATCAATGTACTCGGTGTTACTGAATTTAAGGTAAACTCATCGTGTGGTTTTCATCATTTCAGGAGTTAAATGTGCTTTAAACATCAGCTTCAGGAAAATATACATGATTCATTTTTCTCCTTTTAATTTGCAGGTGAACCGTGACATTCATCCTGATAGAGTCTGAACACTGATCATCAGCCGCAGCTCAGATCTAATGCTGCCCTTCGCTGACACTCAAACACACGCCACTGTAGCTTTACACACACGCCAGCGATCCGGAGTCACTCCGCTTTCAGTCGCTCCCGCTCTCATCCTGGTATTTGGCGCTGGCTTTGATGGCGCGGCCGTTCTGGAGAGGCGTTTCCTCATAATCGCTCCTTCAGAGAAACAGATCCACACAGGAGCATCAGAAAGCATGGTGTGGATGGCATGAGTGTCCTGATGTGGGGACGTACCCGTAAATGACGTCATCGTCCGAGTCGTTGAGCATGGAGAAGGCAGGGTTGTCCTTCAGCTGCGAGTCTGCACACACACACACACACACACACACACACACGTCTGCGTGACGAAGGCCAGCTCTGCTGCAGAAACAGCGCGCGGCGATGGACTCACCGTACAGAGTGCTTGTGGAGGGCGAGTAGACGAAGGCTAGCGTGTAGAGATAGAAGTTCAGCAGACCGTAGAAGGACAGAAACTCCGCGGGTGCAGAGACACACTCAGGAGAACCACTTTAGATTTCAACCATTTAACAAAAATGTAATCTAAATTTTCAACCTTTCAAACAAAATCTAATTGAAAATAAACTAATAGTATGACTTTAAACCAGGGTTATTATAGTTGACTAAAACCACAAAGATATTTTTGTTGCTTGAAATAAAATATAAATATCTTATTTTCAACTTGAACTATTAAAATAACTAAAACTAATATATACAATTAATAAACTATACATTTTAAATTTATAAAAAAAAAGACAAAAAACATTAAAACAAATCACTAAATTTAAGAAAGTTGTGATATAACGAAACCTTTAAAATATTTCTGTTACTTGAAATAAAAAAAACGTTAAAAATATATATTTTTTTAAACTTTAAACTTAAAAGTATTTGGTTTAACTTGATGCTCTAAAAAAAACAACAAAAAAACAGTACAGACTGTATAAAAGGACAAACAGTAAAATTACTAAAACTTGGAAAATATAAAACTAATTTGAAATATTAATGTGAGTGAGTGAGTGAGTGAGTGAATGAGTGTGTGTGTGTGTGTGAGAGAGGTGTGTGAGAGGTGTGTGTGTGTGTGTGAGGGAATGAGTGTGTGTGTGTGTGCGCGTGTTTGTAGAGAGAGAGTGTGTGTGTGTGTGCGCGTGTTTGTAGAGAGAGAGTGTGTGTGTGTGTGCGCGTGTTTGTAGAGAGAGAGTGTGTGTGTGTGTGCGCGTGTTTGTAGAGAGAGAGTGTGTGTGAGTGTGGGAGAGAGAGTGTGTGTGAGTGTGGGAGAGAGAGTGTGTGTGTATGTGTGAGTGTGTGTGTGAGTTATTGTGTGTGTGTGAGAGTGTGTGTGTGTGAGTGTGTGTGTGTGTTACCTGTGTAGGGTGTGTTCTTGAGCTCGGAGCAGGCGCGCAGCACCAGAAACAGCAGATACAGCACATACACAGCCACCAGCAGCAGAAAGAAGATCTTCATGCCCTGCAGCAATTTTAAATGTTTATTTTTTTTTACTGTATTTTCTGTAAATGAAGTTGCATTTATTTTTTTAACTGTGTTTTCCAAAATAAGAAGATTTTTATCATCTGAAACATGATGCAACCCATACTGCAAAGTGACTTTAATTTTATTCTTATATTTTATTTTAACCATATTTTCTGTAACACAATTAGCTTTTCAATTATCTCACTGTATTTTCAGAATATAAGTTATTATAGAAACAAGCTGCAACTTATATTCCAAAGCGACTAAATGTATTTTTTACCCATACTTCAAGGAGTCACTTTTTTAAACCATATTTTCCAGGATAATTTTTATTATTATTATTATTATTATCTAAAATATTCTGTGCCTTTTTAAACTTTTTTGTGGGGGTTTTTCCGGAATGTATTTCCCGAAAATGTAAAATGTTTTTATTTTTCCAAAGACAATTTTTTCAATTGTATTTTTTTTACTGTGTTTTCTGATTTCGGATCTGAAAATCTGAGACTTACATTCTTTAATTTTGTTTACAGTATTTGCATTTATTATTTTTTTACAGTATTTTTTTCAGATTTTTTTTTACAGTATTTTTCAGAATTTAAGTTTTTTTCTGAATCATCTGAAATGTATAAAAAAAACAAATACTGTTTATAACAAACACCACTATAATTTTTTTTATAATTATATTTTTCATTCCTTAATAGCATCACAAGTGAAGGATTTATTTTAGAGGGGAACAGTGTTTATGTTTCATTTTACTTGTTTTTTACATTATTTCTGAATGTAGTAAAATGTGACTCATCTGTGTTTAGTGTGACTTCTTTTCTGGAAAACAACATTCTTTTTTATATTCAGTAATATGATTATTTTGACTGTGTGGAGCTGAGAGAAACTCACCTGGAAGTTCTGGATGTCCACTTTGTACTGATACGTGGGATCCTGCAGCTCATTCACCCTAATAATAATAACAATAATAATAATAAAAGCATGATGAAGATCCCATCAGACAGCAGCTGTGAGTGAAGAGCAGCAGGTTTCTCACGTTTGCCAGATTCCCAGCGTGACGGCCGAGAGCCACAGCAGCCCCACGATCAGCAGCTTGGGCAGGTAGAAGGTGAGGAGCCTCCGGTCTGCCTGCAGGAGAGAGCACAGGTGAGTGAGCGAGCCGAGGGTGTGCTCCAGCGAGGGCCGTCGGGGGCCGTACCTGCACTCGGAGCCCGTGATACACACACAGCCAGAAGAGCAGCAGTGCACACAGGAACAGAGCCTGGAAGAACGCGTCCAGCGTTCCCGGAAACCAGCTGTTCACCAGGAACGACAGCGGGAAGAACGGATCTACAACACAGCATCGGCACATCAGATAAAGAAGTCACACAGGCTGCTTTTACTTGCTCAAAAATACAGTAAAAATAGTGAAATATTATTACAATCTAAAACAGCTGTTTCTATGTGAATCTCTGTTGAACTGTAATTTATTTCTGTGATGCAGCGCTGAATTTTCATTAGTTTCTTGCTGTCCTCCATCCTCTCACCGTTATACAGCAGCAGCAGCGGCAGCAGAACAGACATCCACTTCTGCTCCACGCCCCAGTCCCTCATGGAGAACTTGCGCAAGGAGTGAGCGAACACACACTGCACACAAACACAACATGAGCATCAGACGCCGGAGATCCGCTCAGTCATGCAGACGGTCTGCGGCGGTAACTCACGGTCACGATGAAGGTCATCACCACAAACACGAAGCGGAACCAGATCTCCACCTGAGAGAACGTGGCGTTGTACATCTTAAACTGAGGAAGCACAAAACACAGAGAAACAGACTCGAGCGTGATCCTGGATTTCACTGCTGTACTGCATCATATCTGCTGAATGAATCCAGCTCCTGTTTGTAGTTCCGAACCGAATCCTTCACCAAAGCGCAGTGGATTGTGGGTAATATGAGCCATTAGAGTATCCGTAGAACTCTTTTCAACATACTATGCTTTAGGACGCACTTCCTCTCATCTCACATACGGTTTAGGATGGAGAGTGTGAACACTGGGACGCAGAACGAGTCACTGAATCACTGACTCACTCGATTCACTCAGAACCACAGATTCATTCAGTAACGAATCACCGCTGTGTGTCGCTCACAGACTCGTCAGATCTGCTGTGACTTTGATTGAAATATTTTAACGCTTTATTTTTTCCATAATTAAATCACAGCACATTAACGGGTTAAACCAACAGCCCTAATATATTTATAAACTTGTGTTTATGTAAAGTTGAGTTTTTGAACATATTTTTCTGGAGATTGTGAGTTAAATTTAATACGTGTATAATTAAAACCGAAAAACCATTAAAGCTAATCCATATATCTAATTTGCAGCATCTTTTATTTTATTTTGTGAAAAGCTGTACATGAGGGAAAGTTTTATTGAAATTTTTTTTGAGTCAAGTCAAGTCAAGTTTATTTGTACAGCGCTTTTCACGATACAAATCATTGCAAAGCAACTTTACAGCAAATTAAGTTTCTACAATATTTAGTGGTAGCTTATCAGTGGTGACTGTCAATTAATGTACATATGGCAGAAATGTACGGAAAAATCAATTTAAGACGTAATAAAACAGACGATGAACACTATTAACAGCAATTATTATATGATGCAATCAAACTTATAGCAAAATGTGGTAGTTCTGTATGTTGTTTCAGGGTTGGCATCATCTGAGGTCCTCTTGAGTCCAGCATTCAGCTACCTAATATTAGGCCGCTTTTGCACATCAGCAGATTTTTTCTCTCGACATGCAGAACAGAGCTAAAATCTGAACTCACCACAAAAGTCACGTTTCTGATTCTGTCCTGCAGGTTCCTGAAGCTGACGTTGATCTTGTACTGAGTGTAGTTCAGATATCCCAGATGCAGCACGATGATCTCGTCACACGCCTGCTGATGCTGTAACACACACACACTCATGAGGATCGCACTGACGGCCGGAGCATCACACACACACAGACACACACACGCGCACACGCACACTCTCACACACACGCGCACACACACAGACACACACACTCACGGCGGTGCAGTGCAGGCTTCGGTTCTTGTTGTGCATGTTGTTGCTGATGCGCATCACGCTGGCGTCCTGCATCACACCCTGCAGCTCCACGTTCATCCCAAACTCCCTCAAACTCAAATCTGCAACTGAAGACACACTTCATCAGCACGACTCGCTCACAAACAGAGCCAGTGAATCAGTGCATGAAGACGGCTCACTGTTGCTGTCCAGCTGAATGATGCACGTGAGCCAGAGCTGCTGGTTGTAGTTGGACAGCGGCTGAGATCTGAGGTCGAAAGGGCCGGTCTGAAGACAAAACCGCTCACATTTAACCCCAAAATACACTTACACTAACCCTCAAAAGCTTGGAATAATAGAGACGCTTAAATGTTTCTGAAAGGGGTCTCTTCTGCTCACCAAGACAGCATTTATCTGATTAAAAATACAATAAAAATATGAAATATTCTTCATCTGTGAATCCTGAAAAATACACTATGAAGGTTTCCACAAAAATATTGTGCAGCACAACTGTTTTCAACATTGATAATAATCAGAAATGTTTCTAATAATCAGCATATTAGACTGATTTCTGAAGATCATCTGACACTGAAGACTGGAGTAATGATGCTGAAAATACAGCTGCGCATCACAGAAATACATTACAGTTTAATAGAGATTCACATAGAAAACAGCTGTTTTAGATTGCAATAATATTTCACAGTTTTTACTGTATTTATGATCAAATAAATGCAGCACTGGTGAGCAGGAGAGGCAAAAGAAATAAATATTTAGGAGCAAATCTGCAGCTGATCGCACGACTCTCACCTTTGATCCATTGGCGCTGACGCTTAAACCGTTGTAATAATTCTCACTGATGATCTTCGGTCCTGCAGGAGAGACGTTTATCAGTCAGTTCAGCTGCACATCTCATATAATAATGCCTTGCTTTTGTGTGTTTCAGTCCTGCCAGGATAGAAATCAGCCACTGTGTGCCTTTCTCTGAGAATGCACTCGTTTAGAGTTACTGAAACACAGTGCTCAGTCCGCTGGGATTCGATCTAGTCTGGATTTTATATATATATATATATATAAAGTTTCATGATCTGGAGACTTGTAATATTCATAAAAAATAAACTGTTTAGTAACTTCATCATAACGGAAGATTTAAATGGTAGATGTTTTCAAATAAACAGGCATTTTTACCTTTTAAGTGCACTGAACGAGAGTTGTGAAATGACACACTAGGTCTCTGAGGGTCTCGAATGAAACGTTGGGAGCACGACAGCGAGCAGGTGAATGCTGGGAAAGCAGAGCTCTTACCTGACACACCGATGAGAGTGGAGACGCCGAAGCAGAAGAAGAAAACCACGAACACCAGAACGAAGTGCCTCTTAGAGAGAGTGTATAGACGCATGGGTGCCAACCTGCAGCACACACACACACACACACATGAGTCACGAGTCCACATCACATGCAATACTGATTCATATCCACACCACAATAACAGTTACAAAAGTTTTTCAACGGTTACACATACATGTTTAATTCATATATATAGATAAATATAGATAGATATAATGTTGCAATATATTAAAAATATAATTTTTATTTTTAAAATATATTTTAAAACATTGTTTATTTAAACAGGGAGTCATCACAATTATTACCAGTAAAGTATGGAGTGCCACAAGGATCTGTCCTGGGTACTCTGCTATTTTCAATATACATGTTGCCCCTTGGTAATATTATTAGAAAATACGGGATAGGCCTGGGCGATAAAATGGTATCGATATTTATCGACGGTACACCTTCTTCGATAACGATATAAAAAATGTTCGATATAGCGCACGATATACTGTAGGCACGTGCTCTGAGTGACGCAGACCGCACACACGAACACAAACATGAGGGCTGTGCCTGTGATGAGGAGATTGTGAGTAAAGAATGAATATTAGTCGAATTTAAAATAAACATTTGCATTTGAATGTTAGGAGTGCGTCAGGGAGCGTCATCAGTGGAGCACGAGATGCGGTGATGATGATATAAGTGTAGTTTAATGTTTTGTTAGTTTAGCCCACGACTAGTTAACGCAGCAGTTGCTGCGTTATTCATTCAAAATATTAGAGAAATATAGAAGCTCAATGCGGGGAAGATCTTGATTAGGTTAAAACCGAAACCAAGCTATTCACACAGAACGCATATTCAGCACATTTTCTAGACTGACAAATACGACTGCTGCACTCACGTCTCACACAAGCACACACACACACACACACATGAGTCACGAGTCCACATCACATGCAATACTGATTCATATCCACACCACAATAACAGTTACAAAAGTTTTTCAACGGTTACACATACATGTTTAATTCATATATATAGATAAATATAGATAGATATAATGTTGCAATATATTAAAAATATAATTTTTATTTTTAAAATATATTTTAAAACATTGTTTATTTAAACAGGGAGTCATCACAATTATTACCAGTAAAGTATGGAGTGCCACAAGGATCTGTCCTGGGTACTCTGCTATTTTCAATATACATGTTGCCCCTTGGTAATATTATTAGAAAATACGGGATAGGCCTGGGCGATAAAATGGTATCGATATTTATCGACGGTACACCTTCTTCGATAACGATATAAAAAATGTTCGATATAGCGCACGATATACTGTAGGCACGTGCTCTGAGTGACGCAGACCGCACACACGAACACAAACATGAGGGCTGTGCCTGTGATGAGGAGATTGTGAGTAAAGAATGAATATTAGTCGAATTTAAAATAAACATTTGCATTTGAATGTTAGGAGTGCGTCAGGGAGCGTCATCAGTGGAGCACGAGATGCGGTGATGATGATATAAGTGTAGTTTAATGTTTTGTTAGTTTAGCCCACGACTAGTTAACGCAGCAGTTGCTGCGTTATTCATTCAAAATATTAGAGAAATATAGAAGATATATATAAAAGATTGGATGACCAATAATTTTCTCCTATTAAATTCGGATAAGACAGAGATATTACTTATTGGACCATAAGACAGTACACAGAATCTCTTGGATTACAATTTGCAACTAGACGGATGTACTGTTACTTCCTCTACAGTCAAAAATCTGGGTGTTATATTAGATAGCAACTTGTCTTTTGAAAATCATATTTCCCATGTTACAAAAACAGCATTCTTCCATCTTAGAAACATTGCCAAGCTACGAAACATGTTACCTGTTTCTGATGCAGAAAAGCTAGTTCATGCATTCATGACCTCTAGACTGAACTATTGTAATGCACTGCTAGGTGGCTGTCCTGCATCTTCAATAAACAAGCCACAGGTGGTCCAAAATGCAGCGGCTAGAGTCCTTACCAGGTCAAGAAAATATGATCATATTACCCCAATTTTACAGTCTCTGCACTGGCTACCCATTAAGTTCCGTATCAGTTACAAAATATTATTACTTACCTATAAAGCCCTTACTGGATTAGCTTCTGCGTACCTAACTAGTCTTCTACCACGCTACAATCCATCACGCACACACACACACACACACACACACACACTCTCACGCACACACACACACACACTCTCACAGGGAAATGAAATAAGATCACGCCCACCGGAGGCAGCGGCAAACACGACACACAAAAGCATCTCTAAATATAAAGCAACCCCACATATAAATAAATTATTCATAACAGTAATTAGTGTGAAGCGCGCGCCGCGCACGTGTGATCAGTTTATCTCTCAAACATCTGGAGCCAAACGCGTTTCCTGAGCTCTAGCGCTTCTTCTGTGTGTGTGTGTTTATCTGATGCTGCGATCCGTCCGCGCACTTACCGCTCCATCGCGCTGCTTTTACTCCGTCTGCGACGCGAATAATAAATCAGAAGTGTGTTTACTGGCCGCGCTCTTCCGCACACATCAGCCCGCTGACGTCACCCGCACGAGGTCACGTGACCCCCGCCGCAGTGCGCATGCGCCATCTGCCTTACCGTTTTATATCAAATAATACAATCTAACTCGTAATGTAGCGATTCAAAGCCTCAGAGAGTAGCTTTACTGTGCACGCAGGGATTCATTCAAAACGAAAATGTAGCGCACATTTAAAATAAATAAAATATTACATATTCATGCCATATAGTATGAATTTATTGGTCTGGTCATTGTGAGAAATTAATCACAGGTGTACACTAACACGCCACAGTCTGTGTGTGTCTAAACACGAGTAATCTAATGTGTTGAGAGCTCGTTACCTGTAGAAGCGCTCGATCTTGTAGGGCGTCAGGTCCTCCTTCAGCTCGCTGCAGGCCTCTTGTATTCTCCTGCAGAGCTGCTTCATCTCCCCGAGCACAGGCTTCTCCGGCCGCTCCATGCCTCCTCACCGACGGATCTGCGGGACACGGGAGGCGCAGGGGGTCGGTCACGTGATCCAACGCGTTCAGGACCGCGGACAGGGTTCCGCTCACTAGGTAGGGCTCACTACATAGGGCTCATAGACACGAAATACACCGCAAGACCCTAACTCAAGTCACTAAATATAGTGACAAACACGTCCCTTGACTCTTCAGTCATAAAAACATTTTAAAAAACATTTTGAAAAGGCATAGTTCTATAGTTTTATGCTTTTATATTAAACATTCTCTATATTTTCTTATATTTGCATGAAGTGGCTTGACGCTTTATTGTTTTGCAATTTTTTTAAATAGTATAAAGTAACACGTTTTTTTTTTTAATGATACATAAAAGAACTTACCCTAAACATGAACATTAAACACAAGTTAATACACCAGCTATAGTGACAAACATAACTGATCAGTCGATATTAAAAAAAAGGCATAATTCTATACATTTATGCAGACGCTTTTGTGCAAAATATTCTCTAAATTTCCCTTAAATATGAAGTGGCTTAGTATTGTTTTGCTATTTATTTATTTTGGTATAATATAGCGTATATACTATATGTAATGTAAATAGTATAATGTATTGGTTTAAGAAACCCCTTTGTTTTTTTTTCACTAAAATCATAAATTTATATAAAAATATTCTCAATTTTCATAAATATGAAGTAGCTTGACTTTAGCAAAACTATACATTGTTTTTAGTCTAAATTACACAAAAACTAATTATAAACGTAAACAAAATAAAATATACACAAAGTATATAAAAAATTGCAATGCAAGTGAATTTAGTGTTTCAGAGAACCATTTAGCAAGTAAATGTATTGCACTCTATACACAAAGTCCTGTGGTTGTACCATGGTAAAGTAATGGTAATACCACGCTGCTTATGCAATGCTGCAGAATGACTCGGATATCACCGTATTTAAATAACATTTACTTTTAACATAGCACTTCATTTTATAATCACGTTTCTCCAATGTGCGTTTACGGTACTGATAAAAGCATGCAAATGATGCCCGTGAATTTGGTATAATCAGTATGTTTGTTATGCAGACACTCAGGAGAGATATTTCAACCTGTACACTTTTATTGGGCTACGCACAGACAAAGGACACAATTCAGCTTTTGAGGAACAACACAACTGTTCATTACAGTACAATGCAAACCCTACTGCATAGGCTTCAAGTTAGTCACGCCTGACCCCCCAGAGTCTGTTTACACAATAAGAGTCAAAAAAAGGGGAACTGGAGAAGCATGAGATTCCCCTACATATACAGTATAGGGCAAATAAACCGATAAAGACGCTTCCAAAAAAAGACATCTAAACAAGTCCTAACTTTCCTGCCAAGCAGTCACCTCAAAACCAAACGGCATCATGGGTGCATTTCGCTTATTTTAAAGCAAACGTGAATCCAAAATGTATTGCAATTATAACGAACCGTGGCGTGCATCTTCAGTTCCAAAGCCATTCCATGCTCACCTCTTCCAAAACAAACACGTTCCTTAAAAAACAAGTAATATCATTTACCCAGCATGCCTCTGTGCCCTTCAATACAAACATTCGCTCACCAAAGTCACGTTTTTCCTTCTCCAAAGCACTGACCTATTCCTACGAATACCAAGCACATTTCAAATAACAATAAAGTCCAATAAAGCTCACCAGTCGAATCAGAACACGTATAAGACGCGCATCGGATGGAGCAGGTGATGCAACAGTTAAAGCACGAAGCTCTAAAACTGTGTTCTGGTTTCGACTCGTGTCCGAGATCACTAAAACCCACCACATCCAATCCTCATCCACAAACACCGCTTCAGCGTCATCCACGTTATATACACGACACCAAGCTGAAGAACCGTTTGTACACAACGCTCACACTTACTAAAGGTGGATTAAATGGCAGAAATCCGACGGTAGAGAAAGCACAATATTGCACAAACAAGACATAAATAAATAAATAAACAAACTCTTCTGTTAAGAACATCGACTAGTTTTTCTGGAATCACCGCATGAAACAAAACACCGTTTGTGTTTGGATCACTCTTTACAAAAGACATAAGACAGACACGCATGCACACAAACGTGTTTTTATGCTGCAATGGCTTCTGATCACAAATACTGTCGAACTCTTTCAAAAACACTGAACCACTAAAAACGAAATGTAATGATTACTGTTGCAGGCCTTTAAATTCACGCTCTTCTGATCTGGGACTCGTCTATTCATGCCGTATCGCTTGCTTGTTTTATTGGTATCAGTCAAATCAAATAAAAAGAAAACATTACGCATGTTGCTATATTCATAGGAAATCGTAATCCTCACTGCTGTTCCTCGCAAACCTACTGCTGAATTTCTGAATTACACGGTGATATTCTTAGCACTGACAACAAAACGTGTCACACAAACATCATTTTCCAAAAAATTAAAGGTATGACATTGTTGAAGCACGGTAGAAAAATATCTCCTGTTTGCGCATGTCGAGGTGGACTAAATGTGGCTTGAGAGCCATTACACAAAATCACTTCACAGAAGCGTCAGCAGGGGGCAGTCACTTCGCGTGAGTACTGATTGGCACTTCACTTCCTGTTTCGCAGCAGGAAAGAGATGCACAATCAGAATGTACAAGACGGTTAAAAAAACAAACGCAAAACGTACAAATAAAGTGTGGATGAACAAACAAACATTCAAGAGGAATTAATCATTAAAAACATCTAAGTGCTAATGAATATAGCATCAATGGTTTTACCGTTAAGCTTATTCGGTCTGCCAAAGCAAGTCCATCCTAACAGAAATACCTAGAGTGTACTGTATACTCAGTCTAACTATTTCTTAATAAAATACACGTTTATGACTGCAAGCCAAAAGCATCTAATCAGATGCTAGCTGTTGAACTCCAAGGGTAAAGTCCCTGGAAGCGAGTTTAGATATAACGTCCTCAAAGTGTGACAAACATTAGTATCTTATGCAAAAACGAATTAGTAATGACAGTATGTTGTACAGCAATTGATTTCAGTGCCCAGTAGTACCTCTAACACTCGGAAAATGTGGCTTCCCAGATGTAGTTTTCAAGTATTAGTACTGCATCTTAAACTGGGAAAAAATGCTTAAACGGACAACAGAGAGCAAAGAAAGAAATGGTATAACTGGCTAAAATGTTCCAGCCCAGTCGATCACTTGAGGCGCTGGGTGACATTAGCAAGTGCTACAGCAAAAGCCTGCACAGCTGAGAAGGGGTACTGAAAGTCCAAGATGTATGCATTCCCATCGATCCTTCCGAATTGCATCACCTACACAGAGTGGAATAGAAGTTAGAAAGCACACAAATGGTGTCCAAAAGAAACAACATCTAACGGCTTCTTGCGTACCTGTCTCCCCTCGAGCTCAATCTGGAAGTTCTTTGCCGATTCCTGTGTGACTCTTCCTCCAAAGTCCAGCTGGTAGACCTGCGTGGCTTCGTTCCAAAGAGGCTGTTTGTTGGCCATGATGTAGACGAACCCTTGACTGCCGAGGCCGCGGTCTTCTTTCTCGTTAGCCTTTCGGCATTTGATTTCGTCCAGCTCGCAGCCTCCCGCCCGCAAGTTCCTTTTTGATTTCCAGCTCTTTTTACCACTCTGGCTCTGGTTCATCAGCTCGTCGCCACTGATGAAGAGCTCTGGCTCGCTCTCGGAGCTGTCCTGGAACTCGTTGGTGGTGGCCTTGCTTAGCTTTTTGGCTTTCAGCTGCTCTTTCTGGCCTTTCGGTTTCTTCTTGTCTCGTCCACCTAACCTCGGACTGGAGATGAGGGAGTTGAAGTCACTGAGGGCACGGCCCTCTTTTTTGGACTTGTTGCCTCCTTCTGTGATTGCTGGAACGTTGGTTTCATCCGCCCGACTGTTGTCCAAACGCTTTCGGTTCTTCTTACCAAACCTGTCCGCTCTTTGAGGAACCGGGCTTTCGTTCAGTGACAGCACCTCCTGAAAGCCTTCCCCAGCTTCGGCGATAGCCTCTGGGGGACTGACCGCATTCTGGTGGTCTGGAGGTGGCGTCGGAAGAGGGGGTGGTTGAGGGGGAGGAGAAAGAACAGGCTTATCCAGCATGTGCGAGGTCTTTGGTGGAAGGGATGGGGCAGGACCTGGGGGGCTTGGCATGGGTGGACAGGGATTGTAAGAACCCCATGGATGAAGAGGAATGGGAGTCATAGGCAGACTAGAACAAGAAGCTGTCCCAGGGTACATTGGTGGGAGGGGGCAGCAAGCAAGGTTGGGCAAATTGGGAGGATAACCAGGTGGCATGACCACTGCTTGGTCCTGCTGGGAAAAGGGAAGAGGAGTAACCACCTCTTTGGGAGAGGTGGGATGTGGAGAAGCTTGCACGGAACCACTGTAGGCTGCACTTGGTGGATAGGGCAGAGCAATCTGGTATGCTCCTGCTGGTTGGAAAGTTGTGGCGTTAGGACTTGTTGGAGATTTAGGCGAGAGGACAAACAGAAGACGGGAAACGTCCAGATGCTGTGCAGGGCTGAGGATGAGTGGGGGAGGTTTGTGGGACACAGGAGGTCCAGACGTGGGCAGAGTAGCTGTACGCTCTTGGGGAACCCAAATCTCTTCAGTAGCAGACGGATCCCATTGATACGGCGGTGGCCGTTTGACTGTCAAACTCACAACCTCCGTATTAAGAGCCATTTGCCTCAAAGACTGATTTAATGCCTCATCCTCTGTAAAGGCAGAGTTGATATAGTCAGCCCTTTCCCTGTTTCCACCTCCACTAGCCACTCCACCGTTGCCATCCATACTGAGTAGGCTGTAGGAGGACTGGGAAGGCAGAGGCGAGGCACTGTTGGAGTGCACTATAACAGTGCTGTGAGGTGCACCACCTCCGGTTGGTGGGAAATCTTGCCTAATGATTGTCCCCCCAGCTATTCCATTACTTCCACTGCTGGTGGCCCCAGCGCTGACCCCACCGTTACTACTGCACTGACTGCATGTATAAAGAGCTGTTGGCCCTCTTGGCTGGTAGGAAGCAGACAAAGTACTGGCTTTGGCCTTGGAGGGTAGGGTCCTCTGGGGATCCAGCATTTGAGAAACCTTTAGCGCAGCTTCCCGACTGTTCCGCCTCATGGTAGCGTGAATCAAGCTGCTGTCCAATCTCTGGCCAGGGTTCCGCCCTGCTCCAACCTGATTGGCTGTGTCAGGGTAAGGGGGCGGGTCCCCACTGGGTATAGAGTACCTTGGCACAGTGAGACGGTTCAACGTGGCTGAGGCATAGGGCAACTGCACCTTCTTCCCCTCCACAGCAGAGGAAGATGATGAGACCCTGAGGGTGGCGGAGCTTCCCGGGCCCTGCAGCGTGTAAACATTCTGGTTGCAAACAAGTCGCGAGCGGGGACGACACACCTCCTCCACATTTCCGCTGCTGTCAAATGTGGTGATGCGTTCGTAGCCCAGTGGGGTTGGGTACAGAGCTGCCTGCGCACCAGGTGGATACAAGGTCAGATCCCCTTTCTTTACACAAGCTTCCCCTGAGGATGAAGCGCTAGAGCTGCTTCCCGTTGCCCCAGAGGTGGAATTCGTAGAAGCAGCAGCCGAAACCGCGACTGTGGCAGCTGCCATTGCTGCGGCAACTGTGCCAGGGTAAGGAGGGGGAGGGTTCATTTTGCTAATCTCAAGAGGGGCAGTAAAAACTACTGCATCACCCTCAGCCAGTTGTGGGGCAGGCCGAGTGGTTTTAATTTTAAGCAGGAGCTCATGTTCCCCACGCTCCGCACTGTGTTCTGCTGTTGGGGGAACGTCCGGGATGGTACTCTGCGGAAGCTGAATGACCGGGCATGACGGTTGACCTGAGGGCAAAGCTGGAACAGGGATTTGGATCTGATGCTGCTGTTGCAACTGCTGCTGCATTTGCTGGTGCTGCAGCTGCAGTTGCATTTGCAGATGCTGCTGTTGGATTTGATGCTGAAGCTGTTGCTGCATTTGCTGTTGCTGCTGCATCTGTTGGATCTGCTGTTGCATGTGTTGCTGCTGCTGTTGCTGCATGTGCTGATGCTGCAACAACTGTTGATGCTGCAGCTGATATTGTTGAAGCTGTTGCTGTAGCTGTTGATGCTGCTGCTGCTGTTGATAATGTTGATGCAGCTGATGCTGTTGTTGTTGTGATTGCTGCTGCTGCTGTTGTTGTTGGGATTGCGCAACTAAAAGCCGACCAACTTCCATACCTCCAAAGATTACCTGTCCAGGACTAGAATACCTGGCAGGAACGGTGTACTGCGCAGTGAGCACAGTGTCCTGCTGTCCTTGGTCAGACACCACAGGTGGTGTCACAGTCGATGTTGGATTGGACAACACATCCAACTGGATGTTTTGATTGGCTAGTAGGGATTGGACAAGGCCGATGCTTTGGGTTGGGGACATGGCTTGCGCGGGGCTGTGTATGGGGGCGATGGGTATGTTGACAGTGCAAGGTGGATTATCATCAGTGATTCCTGATGCTCCTGTAACAGGCAGGTCGTCCTCATCCTCACTGAAGACATTAGGACTAAACATAGGTAGGTTAATGTATTCCACTGAGATCTTCCTCACCTCAGGGAGGTAGATGGTCATCTGTCTGGGCTGGAGGTGAAGCAGACTTGTCTTGTAGATAACTAGTGAGAGGGGAAATGTATATTAGAAAACAGTTGTGATTGCTGCTGCTGCTGTTGTTGTTGGGATTGCGCAACTAAAAGCCGACCAACTTCCATACCTCCAAAGATTACCTGTCCAGGACTAGAATACCTGGCAGGAACGGTGTACTGCGCAGTGAGCACAGTGTCCTGCTGTCCTTGGTCAGACACCACAGGTGGTGTCACAGTCGATGTTGGATTGGACAACACATCCAACTGGATGTTTTGATTGGCTAGTAGGGATTGGACAAGGCCGATGCTTTGGGTTGGGGACATGGCTTGCGCGGGGCTGTGTATGGGGGCGATGGGTATGTTGACAGTGCAAGGTGGATTATCATCAGTGATTCCTGATGCTCCTGTAACAGGCAGGTCGTCCTCATCCTCACTGAAGACATTAGGACTAAACATAGGTAGGTTAATGTATTCCACTGAGATCTTCCTCACCTCAGGGAGGTAGATGGTCATCTGTCTGGGCTGGAGGTGAAGCAGACTTGTCTTGTAGATAACTAGTGAGAGGGGAAATGTATATTAGAAAACATGGGACGTATAAATAAATGTAGTAGTTTATATTACTGAAAAATAAATAAACAAACAATTAAAATACCTGCACCAAGATTTGTTGGCAAAAATGCTGCAAGCCCCACAATTTTGAACTTCGTTCCCCATATATTAGATGTAACTTGCGCAAGATAATTGTGCTAAAATACGAGAAGACAAATCTTAATAAGGGGGAAACATTCAGTGAGCTCTGTAATACACACATAGATGTTTTTACCAATTTTACAGCCATTTTACCTGTGTGATGTCATCTAGCGGAAACTCCCGCCGAGTCAGACTCGGAGAGCCAATGGAGGGCTTGCGAATGGGTAACCTAGGCGATCGCGATATTTCCTGTGCGGTGCGGGAGAGCTTGGGGGACTTACGGGGATCTATATTTATCCTGTTGGTAAAGGGACACACTAAGTCTCTACAGAGAAGGTAGCAAGCGAAGAAAAGAGTTCAAGGGGAGTTTGCAGCAGCATGCCGTCTAAAATTGCAGAGTTAAACAAAACTTCAGAACTGGAGGATCCACGAGTTTCACGCTATCAAAATGAGCTCTATTTTTAGGAAAGCATTTCATGATGCATATCTTGTTATTAAAGGGATAGTTCACCCAAAAATGAAAATGTGATGTTTATCTGCTTACCCCCAGGGCATCCAAGATGTAGGGGACTTTGTTTCTTCAGTAGAACACAAACGGAAGATTTTTAACTCAAACCGTTGCAGTCTATCAGTCTTATAATGGAAGTGGATGGGAATCACGGCTTTGGGAGTCAAAAAAAAAAAAAACAAACAAAACCACTGTTCAGTTTCTTGCACA